CTGCAAACTGAGTAAAACGAAGGGTATTGCAAATTCTCTGCGTTCAGCAGTTAGTGTGTGGCTGCAGCCGGGCGGTTAGAATTGAGTAATGCTGATGTTCCTTAGAGCAAGGATGGAGGGACTTCGACTTGCTTGCTTTGGACACGCCATCAGGAAAGACCAATCTCTAGAAAAGGCCTGTTCGGTAAAGTAGGGGTCAGTGAAAATGAGGGAAACCCTCAATGAAATGAATTGACACAGCAGCCATGACAATGGACTCCAACGCAGCAACCACCACAAGGATGGTGCAGGACAGGACAACAATTCACTCTGTTATCCAGGTCGCCGTGCGTTGGAGCCAACGAGACGGCAATGAACAACGACAGATGTTGCTTAGCAGATTTGATGCTAGGTTAAAAGACAAGGAGATCCAGAAACGTCAATTAATGGATATAGGGATGCCCCAAGGCAGTCTGATGGGACGGGCCATCTCCTGCCATCACCAGAGGCACGATCGTCTAACAGAAGGACAGCTTTATGTTCAGTTCCTGAAGCGGGCTCTGGGGAAGGGAGAAGATGGCATTTGCCCCGGGCCAGGCCATGCTCTCTGCCTGCCTAAATCACAACAAAGTTATGACACGGAGAAACCCAGCAAACACTCCCTGCGTTAGCCGAGTGGGAAGGCACCGTGAATTAAACGACACAATGCGGTTATAATTGCGTGCTTACAAATGAGATGGTTTATCAGCTAGATCATGAATTCAGCCTTCTGGAACCAAATAATTATGATCCAGGCTGGAATTGCTAGTTCCCCTCTCCCCTGGAAGGAGGGCCGAGAGGATGTTGTTTGGCACGGGGCTTAACACAGTGCCCAGCACATAGTTGGCACTCAGAAGTCGTCCTGAATGAATCACATTTCATGAGGATTCAGCCACTACTGTATTCTAGTGTTTGTGCCCCTCTCTCACCTGGAGTCAAATCCTGAACTTTCACAATATTATTTGAAAATACTACATGGTCGCTAGGAGTCGAGATTGACTCCATGGCACACAACAGCCTTCCTTCGGCTATAAAAGGAGCAGATGCTGTAATCTAAAGCTTGTCCCTTGAGGATACTGGCCAAGATGTGGATCTAGGCTGTGTGTGTGTGTGTGTGTGTATCTGAGTAGCTGTAGGTACATTCCTGAACATGGGCCATAGAAAGGTTGCATATCCATCAGGAGCCCTTTCCAGCTCTCACATAGCCCTTTGACTCAGCTTTTCTATCTGCAAAATGGGATGGATTTCAGTTCTTTGTTCCACTAAAGGGTTATAAGAATTATTGTAACATTATTTCCCTGAATGAAAAATGCCCCACTTGATTGCAGCAGATAGATTTTAGGAAATTGAAGACTGAAAGCTGAAATTTAATATCCCAAAGCAGTATTATTAAAATGCACAACTTTGTTTGTCATAAATAAACAGACTCAGTGCTTAAATCTAAATGTGAAAAGTAAACCCACATCTTGAACATTTGAAAAGGGAAAATACACACACCTTTTAAAACACAACTACACTCTTCACAGCATTTTGAGAGCCACATCATGAACGGTTCTTTGCATGGGGACCCTTCTTGCCCAATGACCAGTGTGGCCCGTGGAGGTGACAACTGGCTGTAATATGACACTCTGGTTTTCCAGCCAGCTGAAAATTCCCAGACCACTCTGACGATGGGAAGAATGCCTAGTGCATTGGTATGGTTAATCAGGCAGCATCTTCCTCCTTCTGGATTGTGAAATGTGATGATTCTACATTTGAAACTATTAGCACCACTGACTTGGGTATTCAGACGAATAAGTAGGTGTTCCCATTACATCCAGCCCAGGCCAGCACACCCAGCAGAGGTCTCCCAGTGAAGGCCACGTGGAATAACTCAAATAATTTGGAATTTTCTACTGGCTTTATGATTTCAAGGTAACGAAAGGGCAGAGAGTGGAAGCAGATGTGGCCTGAGTGCTACATGCTCGAGCCTGGGGTCTGAGCTCCTTGCCTTCTTGTGGCAATGTCCTGGTCTGACCAACAAGAGTCGGTCCTTTGCTGCCAAACTGCAGCCTGCTTTCAGAACTACATTCAAGCTGAGTCCTGGCTGGGGAGAGGACGAAAGAGGTTAATTACAAACCAGTTACAAACTGCTCTGTTCTGCTTGGAGTCCCTCGGTGGTGCAAACAGTTAAGCACTCGGCTGCTAACTGAAAGGTTGATGGTTCAAGTGCACCCAGAGGCACCTTGGAAGAAAGGCCTGGCAATTTACTTCCAAAAAATCTGCCATTGAAAACTAATTTGCTCTTTTGCTCTGCAAACTTTCACCTAATGCACAAAAAAAAAAAAAAAAAGAAAGAAAAAAACCTAAAAAAAAAAAAAATTCCTATGGAACACAGCTCTGCTCTGACACACGTGGGGTCGCTACAACTCAGAGATGATTCGACAGCAACTAGTTTTTTTTTTTTTTTTTAATTTTAAAAAATTTTTCTGTTTACTTGTTTTGATTTCAGCACGTGGCTTCTTTCCACTGGGAAAATACTTTTTTAAATGATGCAATGTGGCTTTGAAGCTGGCTGTGCCTCAAAACCCAAACTGCATTCTGGCCTGTGCACCTCCCTGCCCTACGCACACAGTAAAACATATATCCAGAAACTTGGAATGTTAGGGAGGAGGAACATACTGTTTGGCATCTGACCCCATGGATTGTCAGACAGCCTGGACTGCTGGAAATATTTTATACTATGCATTTCTCATGAAGATTTCATCTATTTGATTTTACCATTACCTATTTAGCAGGAAAAAAAATGTTTTGAATGGATGAACAACTTTGAAACACCAAAAATCGCTTTTTAGTCAAGAAATCAAAAGCTGAAAAAATATTTTTAAAAGTTTTGTTTCAATTTTCAAAGCAAAACTATTGTTGGAAAGAAAACAAAAAAGCAGCTTCCTGACCCACTTCTAGTAACCATGCAGCTATGATGCACGGTGTTTACATACGTATTTGCCAGGCAATTTTCTGAATGCTCCGTTGACTATAGAACTATAAACACACATTGTATTTTCCCACTGCTGTCAAACACGGCATTTTGAATGAATGTTTTCTCTCCAAGCTTCCTGCAAACACAGAGTCTAAACTAGGGATGCTGGTAACACTGGTGGCATGCTCATAATTTAAAAGACAGCGTGTACCTTCAAGCTACATGTCCTGGCGTTTATTTCTAGCACTTTATTCTATTAAAATAGGCTCAAGGGATAGAATTCTTTATTTATTTACAAATTAAGGATTTCCTTTCGCTCTCTTGGCCTTCTTTAAATGTATATTGTACTTTGGGGGGTACGCTCCCCCAAGGGAGCGCTGGTGGCACAGTGGTTAAGAGCTCAGCTGCTAACCAAAAGGTCAGCAGTTTGAATCCTTGGAAACCCTGTGGGGCAGTTCTACCCTGTCCTATAGGGTCGCTGTGAGTCGGAATCGACTTAACGGCAACAGGTTTGCTTTTGGTTTATGGGTTAGTTTGGTTTGGTTAAGCAACAGCATGCCCTCCCAGACAGAACCAGGGCACCACTCACGTCCTCTTCGCACAAGAGCAGGGGGACGAGGCACTGATATGGGAGTTTAGAACTGAAAGGCCACTAGGGTCCAAATTCATGACCCGGGGTCCAATTTTACCAGAACGCTTGGCTTGTTCTAGCCGCACCCCTCGACCTCACCATCCCTCTCTCTGTCACACACACACACACACACACACTCACCCTACTCTTCATCAGAATCACTGCTGGGTCAGCTGTAGAGAACCCACCCAAGCGCTGCTCTGTGTTTCCAGCATCAGCAGCAGAGCTGGGCCCAGCAAGCGAGGTGACACTAATCAGGAAACCGGCATGAAGGTCTGGGCTCTATTGCTAAACCCGCCCAGCCCACTGGGAGTTTGTTAACAGTGTCCTTTCCCCAACATCCCTTCCAGGGAGGGTTCCTCCCCTGCCTGCCCAAGCCCCCTGGAGGTGGGTGCTCCTGCGAAGGGCCCACTGCTCCAGGGGCGCGGCAATATGGGGGGCCCTGGGGGAGATGCTGAGGCCAAAATTCCTCCTTCCCATCATGATCAGTTCCTTCGCCATCACAAAGGCATGGCTCTGGGAGTGCACAAACAGAGCAGTTTCAAATTGCCCCAGAAAGCTGTTGCTCAGGAGCTCTGCATGCAGGGGGCAGCTCTAGCCCACATAGGGACAGGAGGGGAACAAGTCCAAGCCGAGCGTGGCCTCCCCTCCAGCTTCCATGGTGTGAGTATGTGTGTGTGCATAGAAGGGTAAAACTGAATACCCCGGGGCTCAGGTACCGGCAAGCGCCTGTGGGCCAGGATGCCAGGTCCTGGGCAGGCACCTGGTCCCAGGACAGGGTTTTTGAAGCCAGATGCTGAGTGACAGGCAAAGGTGTTGGAACCCCCAGGGGTCCTCCCTCACCACGCAGCCCTCTTTCCTTCCAGCCAGGGCGGTCCAGCCATCAGGAAGTCCTTCTTACATGTGACCAAACCACAACAGTCCAATACCCTCGCCTCACACGCCACACTCCGGTGAGAGGGACGGCAGCCCCCAACCCCACTTCGGGCTCGCGCGGCTCCCCGCCCCCACCGGCTTTCCTGGAACACCGCGTGAAGAGCCTGGCCCGGTGGGCAGAGGGGGAACTCCGCCACCTATGTGCCTCCAGGCACACCTTCAATGCCACCACCGGCAGGCTCTCCATGAAAACGCAGGGGCTGAGGCGGTCGGTTGAGGCCGAGGTGGGCTAGGCAGGGAGGCGGAGCAGGAGCGCAGACTCGCCTATTTGAACCGAGGCCTGGGCGCGTGGTGCACGCCAGGCGGGCTACCCGGAGACAGAGGCGCAGCTCAGTCTCCTGCGCTTCCTCCCGCGCACGGACGGCAGCGGCGCGAACAGCTGCGCTGTCACCAGGCAGGACAGGGCCTGAGTTCAGCATCTCCGGATTCGGCACCGGGCCCATGCCCGGCCTCTTTTCAAACTTCGGTCCCCTCCCGGCTGTAGACAAGGTGACTGACTCGGAAGCCGGTGGCCGCCGTCTGGTGGCCTGGGGCGAAGCCGGGCGCAGTGCCAGGGGCTTGGGGACCGTGGCCGGTGATCATTGCCGGCCGCCCGAAAGGGAAGTCGCTCGCCAGAGTCCCGGGGAAGGCGTCAAGGCCGCCGGTCAGCACGCCCATGGCCGAGGCGAAGCCGGAGAAGCAGGCGGGCTCGGGCGCGGGCGGGGACTGCGAGGCCTGCGGGCCCGGGGAGGCAGCGCGAACCGGCGACAGCGTCAGCGCCTGGGTCTCCCGTGGGTTCCCGGACCCCGCGGGCGCGCGCGCCTCGCCTCGCCTTTTCCTCTTCCTTCGGAAGTTTCCGTTGTCGAACATCTTCTCGCAGTTTGGGTCCAAGGTCCAGTAATTGCCTTTACCTGCGGAGGAAGAGAAGGCCCATCTCAGAAATCGGGGACTTGACCAGGTGTGAGCGTGGGGACCAGGCCAACTTCAACAAGATGCCCTCAGCGGCCCCTCCAGAGAGCCATGACCCCTCACTCTCACCCAAACCTTGAGGTGGCACTCCTCCCGGGGTGGGAGGAGTCTGGACAACCCCCAGAGATCCGGAACGGCAACGCCAGGAAGTGCGGAGCCCCGCTGAGTTGTTCCAGGCGGAGCGCAGGCCCGTGAGTTGCAGATCTACCTGGATTCTGCCAGCCACTCTGCCAACAGAGTGGAGCCGACCGCCCTCGCCTCTATGCACACTCCAGCTCTTCCCAAGGGGCATCTCATTGTTCCTCCGAATCCCGGGGTAGGCGTTATCTTCCCAAGTTTACACGTAAGGACACCGATGCCCAGATAAGTCGCCGCCACGGTCACCCAGCTGTGCGCTCTCCCGCGCCATCCTCCAGGGAGCGCGGAGAGATCCAGAGAGCCAAGTCTGAGCGCCGGCCGGGTACGAGTAGGGCGGCTACACCATTTGTCTGGGAGCTTGTCCATGGCCGGCACGTCTCTCCTTCTTCCCCCTCCCCCTCCCAACCCTGCCTCAGTATCTCCAAGTGGGTAGTGAATCGTTGGGCTGTCCAAGGTCGCCCCAGCCCGGGGCGGGCCCCGAGGGCGCCGAGGCGAGCAGCGCGCTGTTACCTGGGTCGTCCTCGTCGCGGGGCACCTTTTTGAAGCAGTCGTTGAGCGACAGGTTGTGGCGGATGGAGTTCTGCCAGCCCGCCTTGCAGCGCTTGTAGAAGGGGAAGTTGCCGGCCACGTACTGGTAGATCTGGCTGAGCGTCAGCCTCCGCAGCGGCGCGCTCTGGATGGCCATGGCGATGAGCGCCGAGTACGAGTAGGGCGGCCGCACCAGCCGCAGAAGCTCCTGTTGGCCCGGGAGGCCCAGCCAGGACAGGTCGCCGCCAGCCAGGCCACCCGGGGCGCCGAGCAGCGGGCCGGGGGCCGCATAGCTGCCGGGGGCAGCGTAGGGGGGCGCCGGACCGAGTGCGGGGCCCGGCGCGTAGGGTGCGGGCGTGGTCACCCACAGGCGCGGCCCGCCGCCCGTCGCGCCCAGTTCCCCGCTCGCCGAGCCCGCCGGGTGAGCGGAGCCCGCGGGGTGCTCTGTGGCCCTGACCGGGCAGGCGCCCAGGCCGTCGCAGGACGCGGCCATGTGTCCCTGCTCCCGTGCCCGGGCCTGAGTCTGGGCGCCGAAGCTCATGGGCGCCCCACTGAGCGCGGCCACCAGCAGCGTCCGGTGTGGCCCGCCCTGTGCCCTTTAAATGCCGTCGGGGCCGCACCTGGGCGAGTGTCGGCGGCTGTCCCCGCCCTGTAGGCCGTGGAGGAGCGCAGGCCGGTCCCCGCCCCGGGTCAGTTCTCCGCCCCTCCCCGCCGCGACCCCGCGCCCCGGCGCGCACAGCCCTCCCCAGCCCTGCGCGGCCCGTCTTGCCCCTCCGGCCCGCAGCCCCGACTGCCCTGGGTCCTCGGCCGGCACCACGTTGCCCGCGGGCCTCGGATGGTTGCGGCTTGGGGAGCCGCGTCCCACCCGCATCCCCAGCATCTCGTTTCGTCCGGCCCCTCTGTCGTAGGGCGGCGGGCAGCTGCGCTGGGCCAGGGGTCGCGATGGAGCCTCGGGTGTAGCGGGGCTAGGGCTGCCCAGGCAGACGGCGCGGTTCCAGCCCCACGCACAGAGGACGCGGGGACCCAGGGACAGGTCTGCCTGGGCGCCGACGATGGCGCTGGAATCGCCGAAAGTCCCCGCAGGATCAGTGCGCGACGGCGGCGCACTGGATCCGCGTAGAGGCCGCCCGGAGCCCATAAGGGTCGAGACTATGGAAGCCCGGGTCACTCCCGCCATCCAGGGAAGCCGTTGTTTCTTTAAAGCCCGGGACCTAGGGGAGCCTGGCTTGTTACGCGGTGGGCGCGGGGTGCGGGGGACGGCGAAACCCTCCGCTGGGTGTCCGTGCATGCAGCGAAAGCAGCGACATCCTCTGCAGTGCGCCAGACACCAGCAGCAGGCCCTTGCTGACCCTTCCCTGGCTCCCGGGGCTCCCAGGCTCCCGGGCCGCAGGCAGCGCGGAGAGTGCAGCGGCGCTAGGCCAAGGCCACGCGCCGCGCACGGCCGGGATACCAGAAGATTGAGGGCCTCCCCTGTTCCGAGTTTGGACGCCCAGGCCGTGCGTGGAGAGGCAACAATTCTACCCCCCTGGATGAAGGCTCAGAGATAAGAAGAGGGGCTCCATCCCTGCAAAATTCATTGCCCGCGGTGTCAGAGCAAATCTGGTCGAAATTGCTCTCTCCCGGAGGCACCCTCATTATTGCAGGGATCTGTGGATAGTCAAAGCAAGTACATCTCCTTTCCAACTTTTTCAGCTCATTTAAAAAACAAAAGCCCCCCCCCCCCATTCCCTTTTAGGCCGTGAGGGGAAGGAAGAGCCTGGGGTCTGAGGAACAAATGGCTGGGCTTAGAGGGGCTTGCATTTAAATGCGACCGCTAAGCCTCTGCTATTAACAGAAAGGTTGACTGTTGAACTTGTGGCACCCTTGAAAGAAAGGCCTGGCATTTGAATCAGCACTCAGCCCGTAGACTTCCTGTAAGTCTGTAATTCCACGTTTTATGTAAAACAACCGATTTGTGGAACATCTTAACAGATGACGGAAGTTAGTGAGAGGCCACGTTGGCCTCTCCTAGATGGCAAGAGGTTGTGGGTGAACCAAAGGCCATTCCCAGCCCAAGACTGGAAAGAAGAGACAAGAATTGGTTGATGGAGGTTGACTCTTCAGCAGGCCCATCCCTTCCCTTTACCCTTCCCCAAAGATTTCGAATTGTCGCCAAAAGGAGTGTCACCTGTGGGGATCCCAGCTACCTTTCTGAATTCGCTCCTCAGCCCGTCCCTAGACCATCACTGGGGGATGCTGCTGAGGGGATGGAAAGCAGTCACCTGGTTCTCAGGTGGGAACAGTCTACACTTACTTCAAAAACAGCAGCCAGTGCACGTGCCTCTCCACTTAGCGATTTCAAAGGTAGCCTCACAATTGTAAGCACGCACTGTTCTTTGGGGCTGTGGCACACTTTTTGGTAACTGCGCTTGAAGAAAGTGTCTTTCCATCAGCAAGTGTGACTGTAAGCATGACTTACCCGTTGCCATCGAGTCAATTCCGACTCATAGCGACCCTACAGGACAGAGTACAAGTGCCCCATAGGGTTTTCAAGGAGTGCCTGATAGATTCGAACTACCGACCTTTTGGTTAACAGCCAAGCTCTTAACCACTGTGCCACCATGACTTCGGTACATGCATTCATTGGAGCATATAAATACCCCCTCCCCATAATAATGGAGTCCCTGGGTGGTGCAAACCACTAAAGTGGGGCTAACCCAAAGGTTGGAGGTTCAAGTCCACCCCGAGGTGCCTCAAAAGAAAAGCCTGGCGAATCTACTTCTGAAAAATCAGCCATTGAGACCCCTATGGAGCACAGTTCTTCTCTGACACACGAGGTCGCCATGAGTTGGAATCAACTGGATAGCAGCTGGTGGTGGGAGAGCCTCATGAGAATAGTACTTAGTGAGTCCCGAGCGTCTGAGACGTTCCCACACCTTTGGCATTTTGAAATGATTGCTGATTAGGAGTCAGCTTTCCAAAGACCATGCTTCATGAGGATGGAACATGCCAGAAGCCACACAGCTCTTCCTTGACCCAAATGATCCCAATAACCAAGGAAGAGGAAAAGTGTGGAGATGTCGGAGGCGTCCAGATGGGCTGGGTTACCAGCACTCAGTGATTCCACAAGGACTCTCCATGGCAGTGTCGCTGCTCTCCAGGGGAGGGGACACCAAAATTGCTGCTCCTTGTGGGGGTTCTGACTATCCAAGACTTTAAATGTAGAAGACATTTGTCTTGGTGGACTAATACAGTGATTTGGGAGGAAGAAATAATTTTATCTACAGTTAAGTCCACAGCTATGACAATACAATCAGAGGTACCGAATTTTAAATAACAGGCTGTGTCACCTCGTGCGATATGAAGTGATGAACAAACATGATCACTCTTTCCCAGTTCCCTTTTAATTTTAATAGCCTTTCTTTCTGTTCACGATGTAACTCTTTAGCACTTGTGAGTTGAGGGACCTCAAAGAAAATCAGATGAACCTTCATGTAATTTCCCTCAATTTTACTTCGTGAAAATTACTACAGTACTAGCCATGCCTGGGAGTCCATATTTTTATCATTTGCTTCCTGAGCCCAGTCTTCATCTTCCATTTCCACTGGAATGGCTTCCTTATCTTTCCGTAGACTAGACTCATAAAATGAGTTTCCATAGTTGGAATATAGTAATTCTGGGGGAAAGAAAGGTTTAACACCTGAGTCAGTCTTCAAGGGAACTCTGATGAGAGTTTATCCAAAAGGAGGACAAAAATCTCACCAAAAAGAAATAAGAAAGAAAAAGAGTCTGCAGCTTCACCTGGGCCCTCAGCCCAGCCTGGGATTCCTGTCGGCCAAGCCCCCTCCTCAAACCTCAGACCCATCTCGTTTAGTCTCAAGGCCCCCCACTGCCTACTTAGAGGAGAAGGCATCAGGTGGTTTCTCCCCCCCTTCCACCACCACACTCCTGAGCCCACCTGTGACTACATCTACACCTGTCCTCCTTCCCTCTGGTCACAGTGGGAGAGGTGTTCCTCATGCCAGTCCTCTCTCCTCAACAGGGCCAGGATTAGGGTGAGGCAAGAGGCATCTGGGCATACCACTGGAGGAGACAGTCACCTGCACAGCCCTCGGCATGAGGCCCTTGCTCCTCCAGTCTGACCCTCACTCTATGCAGGTGTCTTTCTACCTGAGATCACCTCTCTCTCACTCCCTCCCCTCAGCATTTACAGGTCCCGTACTCACTTCTCTCTATCTTCACAAATCTCACCCTTCCCTCTTCGGTTGTGTCTGTCTCTTGCTTCTCTTCAACAGCCCACCTTCTACCAGGGTTGCCTCTGTTAGTTGCCAGCCCATCCTCACCTCTCTCTCATGCTTCCCACGCAGCCCAGGCAGGTACTCTGGCACATCTCTAGGGGCTCCGTCCCCTTAAATCCAACCATTGCCTTCAGTCCTCCTTCTCTTTGCTTGACCTCTCAGCAACACTTGACATCTTCCAGAATGAACCCCCTTTCCCTACTTCCTTCTAAACTTTGTTCTCCTGGTTTTCCTCCCTTTCTCTGACTTCTTCTCAGGCTCTGGATTGCCCTGCCCTACTCTAAGGCCAAAGTTCTGCAGAGTTCTCTGCTCTGAGCTTTATTTTCCTTCCCTTCTGTGACTTTACCTGCTATCATGAACTTTGAGCTTCTCAGCTATGGCGCTGTTGACATTTTGGGCTGGATAATGCTTTGCTGTCCCATGCATTGTAGAATGTTTAGTAGTGTTAAAAAAAAACAAACAAAAAACCACTGCTGTTGAGTAGATTCCAACTCATAGTGACCCTATAGGACAGACTAGAAATTTCCATAGCTGTAAATATCTCTGGAAGTAGACTGCCGCATCTTTCTACCGAGGAGCGGCTGGTGGGTTTGAACCGCTGACTTTTTGGTTAGAAGTCAAGTGCTTTAACCACCACGCCACCAGGTCTCCTTAGCAGCATACCTGGCCTCAACCCAGTAGATGCCAGTAGCACCTCTCACCCCCTGTTATGACAAAAAAAAAGGTCTCTAGACATTGCTAAATGTCCCTGAGGGGCCAAATCACCCCGGTTGGTTGAGAACCACTGCATTAATGAATAATTCTCCAATTTTTATCAACCTTTTGGATGTCTTCATCTCAAACTCAACATGTCCTAAATTAAATTCATTATCTTCCATATCCCAAACATGTTTCTCCTCTATAGCTCATGAATGGCAATATCATTCACCCAGTTGTTCAAAGCAACACCAAGGCGTCATCCTTGACTCACCTCACTCCTACATTCAGTGAGTCAGCAAGACTTCTTGATTCTGCATCTCTCAACCAAACCACTTGTCTCTAATCCAAAGCCCACCCCTCCACCCATGTCACTATCTTCTTCAGGATTATACTTATGATTTCTTACTTTTTCTTACAGTATACCTAGAAAGGTTTCCAATAACCATGCCGATATTATTGTTCACAGAACAACTCATGAATGAGTTTTCAGAATCCTATGCAGTTATTTTTTGTACTTAAAATACATTCCACATTTATTATTTGGCCTAATAACGTGTTCAGCACT